CTTCTCCAAGCCCTTCAGCAAATAATTTGAAGTGAAATCTGGTCAGAATCTGCATGAAACCTGAAAATGACCTATCACTAACCTTCTAAGATTTCCCTAAGTGGGTAGTAATACCAGAAGTTTAGAACATTCTTGCTACTCTGAGGGATCAATTTTATTGAAACTTGTTGATCCAATTTATAAGAGATGAAAACATGTCTTGCAAGATCTTTGATAGTCCCATGATTTTTGAAATGAGATTGTAGTTCCTCTGGAGTTCTCTTTTGATACTTGAAGAAGTAATAGATTGTTTTGAATACAAGATTTTGGAGATATAGATATCTGCTCTCCAGTTCTCTGCCTGAAAAATCAGACCTCATGTGATATATAAGATTGAAAAGATCCTCAACCAACGGTGCAACGAGTCCTATACGCGTATTGTATAGGCATATACAGCGTATTGCACTTCGTCAGAAGTACATGTATTTTGAAATACATGTATTGCATCTGCTAGTGAATACAATACAAATACATTGTATTCATTTTCTAGCCTATACAATACAAATACATTGTATTTACAAATACATTTTTGGTTGTATTCCCTTTAAAACCCCTTTTTTTTCTCATTTTTTTCTCATTTTTTTCTCATTTTTTTCTCATTTTTTTTCTCATTTTTTCTCATTTTTTCTCTTTTTTTTTCTCTTTTTTTTCTCTTTTTTTTCTCTTTTTTTCTCTTTTTTTTCTCTTTTTTTTCTCTTTTTTTTCTCTTTTTTTTTCTCTTTTTTTTTCTCTTTTTTTCTCTTTTTTTCTCTTTTTTGTTGATTTATTTTCCTTTTGATTTTTCTTTCTCATTTTTTGCACCAAATACATTGTATTCATGTTTCAGCAAATACAATACAACCTTTAAAAACCCATTTTTTTCAGAGATGTAATAAGATGACAGAATCTGGATACAATACAATTATTGCTTTTGTGAGTGTTAGAGGGGTGGGAGAAATGAAGCAAACAATAGAGAAACAAAATCTGAATGCAAAAAATACACAGAAATGCACAGAAAAGAGGTGAAAAGTGTATCATTTGCTGGCTGTAGCTGCCTCATGTCTGCTCTCATGGTGGTCAACTAAATCCTGACTGAAAATCACCTGCGCTCTTTCAAAATCCCCATCGGCCTTGAATCCTTGTTTCAACCACTGGTGAGAGCTTACTGACTTTTCGATTGTTCTGGGTGCTAAACTCCCTCGATCCCGTCCACAAATGTCAGCAGCAGCCGAGAAGCATCGTTCCACGCTAGCTGAGGTTGCTGAGCAAGCAAGATAATCCTTGGCCAAGGAGGCTAATGTGGGAAATTCATTGTGATGTTCCTGAAGGGAAATACAAAAGAGAAATGAGCCTTTAACTGACATACAATATTCAGATATCCCAAATAGGATACTTACTTTCCACCACACTAGACACTGGTCTGCATCAGCCGGAAGAACCTTATACTTACCGCCCAGGTAGTTGGCCAACTCGTCAGTATTTGCAGATTCCACGGCCCCAGGGAATAAATTTAAATCATCGATTGGCCGTCGATGGCTGGTTTTCTGGGGTTGGGATGGCTGCTGGGGAGTTGATTCTCTTGAGCTAACAGTAGCAGCAAGTTCTGCCTTGCGTTCATCAAATTTCTGTTGAAGCAATATTTCGGCGTATTTGTGGTGAGAAGAGAAGTATGCTTGAAATATTGAAAGCCGATATGACGGGTTCAACATGGTTGTTAAGAGTATCGTGTTGCAGGCTAAAGCCTCCGCAAGGTAAGTTTCAGTCTTTTCAATCATCTTCTTCAGCATTGATCGGAATTCATTTTCAGTCACAGAGCCAAGGCGGTCCTTGAGGAAGTCTTTGATCAATTGATATTCCACTAGAAGCATACCACACAAGGAATGGTCGCCTTCCATTTTTTTAGTTATGAAATAAAACTCCTGAAACATACAATACAATGATTAGTTAACAAATTTCAAACATTCAGGAGACTAATGAAGAAAAGGAAAATCTAAATCAAAGAACACTGACACTAAGTATATCATTTAGTCGCTTTACAATTTCCCAGTCACCTCGGGTGATCTCGCAATCCTGGTAAAAGCTTTTACCACCATCTCTTTCTTGCCGGTCTTTCTCGTTTTCATTGAGTTTGTTGATCACATTTCGACTCTGGTACGCCCGGTCTCGACTTTGCCACTTGATGTTCCATCGGATGCCATAGCCGGCAATAAGAGTTGGGCCAGGATCATCAAGCTTGGTGCGCCATAATTCAAACTCTGAGCGTTTAGAAGAAGAGGAGGTAATTCGCTGAATAACAAAATCGACCTTGCTGAGTATTCCAGCCATTGTCTCAGAATTACCAGGAGACCCCGCCAATTCGTCCGTTTCATCTTCACAGTCCTCATCAGATTGATCTAAAACCGGTGCATCAAGGTCCTCATCGCCTGAGAGAAAAGCTGCTCCTTGAGTGTTGTTGTTTTCCGGAATTGTATCAAGGAAGGGGACATGTCCAAGTGTCTTTTTCTTACACTTAGTCAGCCCAGAAGTGTTGGTATCAATCACTTTGAGACCAGATGCCACAATTAGTGCAATCTTATGACATACACATTGGATGTGGTTAGAGCTGAGGTCTGGGTTGATTCCGGTTTTCTTAGTGATTATGCGGTCCACCTCGGCAGTCATTGTACGGTTGTTTGAACCCGAGTCAGTTGTTTGAGCTAGGATGTAAAAAAAAAAGTAGAAATGTAGGTTAGATATGGATCAATCTGACAACAAAAAAACTGAAAACAAAAATAAAAATAAATACTTATCTTTGTGTGGAGTGAAGACTTTGTAATGACATTTGCAAACGGAACTGCAAGGTATTTACCCTTGTGCGTCCATGAAATGTACTTGAGACCCAGGTGACATATCTCAAATGCCCAATCTTCTGTAATGTACGCAGCCGCAATTCCCAGGAACGCATGATGATTCCCTTTGGTGGTCCATACATCATGGATCAGAGTGATTTTGGATTTGAGTGACTGTGCAGAAAAAGAATGTGGAATTAAAAAAAATCAAATGGCAAGCAACAGAAGTTTAAAATGGAGAGTATGGAGCAACTGGCTTACCTTAAGGTTTGATATCACCTTCTCCTGCAGGTTGACATACAAACGGTGGGCTTCTTCCGCTGCCCATGTGCGTGAGTAAAGTTTGATTCCCTCTCGAGCATAGTTGAATGAAATCGCCAGCAGAGTATCCTCAATTCTCATCCAAGGGAGAGCCGATCGCATGAGCCACATAACGAGGATTTGATTCAAAGTCCGGTTATCAAATTTGCTGTCAGCAAGATTTGTCAATACACTAGCGTTCTTCTCTTGTTCGATTTTCTCTTTGATTGTCACCGGTAAGTTTGCTCCGTTTTTGATTGCTTCGTCTCGCGATTCACAAGGTTTCCTCGAACCGTCACCATCACGATGCTTGAACAGATTAGAGCGAGTGCGTGTGGATGTCTTATATGGTCGACGATTGCACCATTTGCACTGGTAGTATAACTTCTTGCCGTCGGTCTACAGAGGTGATTTTTGGGAAATCAGTAAGTTTGTTGACATGGAACAATGAACAATGAAATAATAAAATACATACATTGCCCTCCCCGTATTGTGGAGCCTCAAAATAAAGACCAATATCATCATAATCATTCTTATTAGGCCCTCGGGTTTTTTTTGTCTGTTTGGTCAATTTTGAGTTATCTTCATCAGAGTCTTGAGGCAGGTTGAGGAATTGAACGTCCTCATCTGATTCGGAGGTAGTTTCCCTGTTGTTTGTTGATTTTTTAGACTTCTTCTGAGATTTCTTAGGAGCTGCGGACTTGGTGGATGCAGACGAGACCCGCTTGCGGGATTTTGTGATGGAAGTTGGCTGGCTTGAAACACTGGCCTCTCTGGTTGCTGGCTGGACTCGGAGCGACCGACGTGTGTCGGTATCTGTTCGAACATAGTTTGGATGTGATCTGAGAGGGGTAGACAGACGGGTAGATTGTCGTGAGGGGGGCCGAGAGGCCGAAGGGGGAGGTTGGGCCATCAGGGCCAAGAATCACTTGACGTCAAAGCCGAAGTGGAGTTGCAAGTGAGTGATTGCCGGCCGTTTGAGGCACAATGGATGAGCCTTTCCAAGTGTGACAACACAGGCAAGGGCAAGGTGTGGGTGTAAATTACAACTAAAAATAAGTAAGTACAATTTACGGTGTAAATTACAACTAAACAAGTACAATAAGAGTGCAAAGTCAGTTTCAGAGCCAATTCCCTCAGCTTGATCTATCAAAGCAAGAAGAATATGTATAACAGCAATGAAAGACTGACTCTCAATTGGCAACCTTCAATTGTTGTAGGTTTTGTTTTGCTCCAAACAATGCCCCCAACACTATGATTGATCCGACTCAAGGGGGTCAGGTGCTGAGGGGACAAAGGCTGGTCAGCATGCTGGCCCCCATCAAAGGAATGAGGTTAGAAACCCACTTGGCAGCCAGTTGGCTGCCAAGTGGGATGGGGTGCTCACCTGCTCGGTGGGCCCAGGCTGCGTTGATCAACTGTTCAGGAGATCAACTATCGCGCTGCGTTGATCGATCGCGCTGCGTTGATTGATCGCGCTGCGTTGATTGATCGCGCTGTGTTGATCGATCGCGCTGCGTTGATCGATTGCGCTGCGTTGATAAATTTAGCTTGGATTCAGGAAGATCGACTCGATTGCGAGCGCCGCAACGAGTCGTTCGCTTGTATTCTAGTTAAGCGTAGGGTAGCGTGTGCTTGTAGGGGTTGGGTGCTGAGGGGACAAAGGCTGGTCAGCATGCTGGCCCCCATCAAAGGCATGAGGTTAGAAACCCACTTGGCAGCCAGTTGGCTGCCAAGTGGGTCGGGGTGCTCACCTCTTCAATGGGCCCAGGCTTTGTTGATCAACTATCGTGCTGCGTTGATCGATTGCGCTGTGTTGATCAATTGCGCTGTGTTGATCAATTGAGCTTGGATTCAAGAGGATCGACTCGATTGCGAGCGCCGCAACGATTCGTTCGGCTTGGATTCTACTCTAGTTAAGCGCAGCTTGTGCTTGTAGGGGTCGGGTGCTGAGGGGACAACAGAAAGGCCGGTCAGCATTCTGGCCCCCATCATGGTTCAAAGTCATGAGATTAGGAACCCACTTGGCAGCCAGTTGGCTGCCAAGTGGGTTGGGGTGCTCACCTGCTCGGTGGGCCCAGGCTGCGTTGATCAACGGTTCAGGAGATCGACTCGATCGCAGTGCCGCAACGAATCCTTCGGCTTGGATTCTAGTTAAGCGCAGCTTAGCTTGTAGGGGTCCGGTGCCGAGGGGACAAAGGAAAGTCCGGTCAGCATTCTGGCCCCCATCAAGATTAAAAGTCATGAAATTAGAAACCCACTTGGCAGCCAGTTGGCTGCCAAGTGGGATGGGGTGCTCACCTGCTCGGTGGGCCCAGGCTGATTTGATCGATCCTTCCGGTTAAGATCCACTGCAAGCGACTTGATTGTTTGCTAAGGGTAGCTTGCTTGTAGGGGTCAGGTGTTGAGGGGAAAGAGGCTAAGTCAGCATACTGGCCCTCATCAAAATCATGAGGTTGGAAACCCACTTGGCAGCCAGTTGGCTGCCAAGTGGGATGGGGTGCTCACCTAAGGTGGGGGGGAGGGAAGAACCTTGGCGGTATTGATTGTCTTTGGTTTGGATCCGCTCAACTTCAATGTGATCACAATACGTGAAATACGTGGGGTGTATTGCAGCGGACCTGCAATACATTTATTTGTATTGTACTCCAAGGGCAATACATAAAAAAAGAATACACTTGTATTGCAGCGGCCTTCCGCTGCAATACAAATACATGTATGACCTATACATTTTGGTGCAATACACACCCACCAGAAATACACGTATAGGACTCGTTGCAGCGTTGCCTCAATGTATCCTTTTCTTCTTTGTTCAATTTCCTTGAACTTTGTTTCCCTGGAAATTGGTTTTGAATTTTGATTTTTAAATGTTTATAAAGAAGAACAACACTCTATATCACAAATGATTGACTTACATTACTGCTGTATTCTTGGAACTAGTTGGTACATCTTCTCCCAAGCTTTTGTGCAATGAATCCAAATTCTCTAATTTCTTTCCAAAATCATTTTCTTCTTCATCTGCTGCTTGTTTTTCTAACCAAAGCCAAATTTGAGGAGACTTATTAAATCCATTCAATTCTCCTCTCAATGAATTCCAATCTTCCTGCATCAGTTCTATCAATTTGGAAAGATTGAATGATTTTCACTTGAACAAATCAGTTTGGGAATCCCAATGGATTAGTGGGGATTTCACACATACCTTGCCGGGTTTTACCAGAACTTCCATGCTCAAAGGCTGTTAGAAATTTCAAAACCAATGTTATAACTTGGGTTCCTTCTTTGAAATTTTCTAGAGTCAGAACTTACCATTTGACTCCACCCTGTTGCCTCCCATTCCAAGATGAGGGATACTAGCAATATACTTCTCCACATTATCTTTTTCTTCCAAGGTTAAAGAATAATTTGGGTCTTGAAGTATTTGGGTGACTGTGGTGCTTACATCTAGTTATGGTCCAGTTATATAATTTGTGGCATTTTTATTGTTGAAGTCGATTTTTTTTTTTGGCCAAGAACAATTTGGCAGGTACATATTGGGAGAGCAGGCGGTAACGCACATGAGCATGAGTCTTCCGGCGAGATGTTGAGGACAGAGCAAGGTAAACATACTTTCGTCAATCAAACGCTGAGTCATGCTTTCCATCTCAGACCCAGGCAAACGGAAATATGCGCTCTGAACGGCATGTGAGCAGCACACCACAACCAGCAAAACTGACACATATAGGCAATCTGAAGGCACTTTCATTGCGAACTACTGCAAACTACTTGTCAAGAGTCAAGGGGAAAAGGCAACAGATCCGAATCCGGAAGGATCACTCGGTACACAGATTCGGTTGGATAGCTTTCGCAAAAGATAAGAAAACTAATCGCAAAACGGCACAGACTGGAGAAAAGTAACGGTGCGGGGCACAACTTCAAGGCTCGATGAGGGCACTCTCCTAAAAGCATATGGATTTGCCACAGGGGAAATGAGCCTCTCCAAATCTGATCGCGCATTGCTCTCATAAAACTTGCAAGACTGGCCAATATCTTGTATGGTTTGGGTGAGCTGATAAGATAATCGATCAGCTTCAGAAGCCTTATCGCAACTTCCCCACAACTTTGCAGCGGGCTTGCGACGCAGTCTCCCGGGAGTGAAGCGGAGAGTTATACAGCGGTTTCTACCGCTTGGGGCAATTGGGTTTTGGTATCTTGTGTTGGCGTTGTAGAATAAAACAAGACTCGTGAAAGCCCTTCAATGGAAAACCGAAAATCATGCACTTGCTCACAATGATACTGAGAAAACATGTGACACTTTCCTTGATGATGCAACACATTGAGGCAGTATAAGGTATGTCTATGAATTTCGACAGAAAAGTAAATTGATGGAGATCATGAGATGTAGTAAATATGATCCGGCACAATATCATTTTTGAGGAGAAGTGACTGTATCATGATCAATTTCTGAAATCTCCCTCAGCTCAGATGAGAATCACAAAACATAGTGAAGATCTAGTCATGATACACACCTGCAGGTGGGGTTCATTCTTAAAATCAATATGTACCATTTAATAAATTTGGTGTTCAAAAATTCCAGAGGAATTTTTCTATATACTATGGAGAACTCAGCATAAGATTTGGCAGGGACTTTTCAGCATATATGAAACTCATGTTGCCAGTCCCAGCCAAAATCACATACTGCACTGTGTGATCAGTGAGTAAAGCTTCAGGTATGCGATTTTGAATGCCATAAGCCCATGCAAAACTTCTTGTGGAATATTGTTGAGATGGACTAGTGGAGCAGCCAACACAAGTTGGAAGGATAACCATTGCAACTATAAGGCCCCGTGGACTGGACCAATATTTACAGTGATAATGGATTTGCATGGTTGTGTAATAATTGGATTAAGGTTGATAAATATTAAATCTGATCATTAGGATTTGCATATAACGATATGTAACATCTTGGGCGGCCAAACAGAGCCTAAGATAAAGAGAGAAGATGAAAGAAGAATACCTGGAGCAGCAGACACAAGTTGGATAAGTTTGTTGGAAGGACAAGGAAGGAGTCCCTCCAACTTCTGCTGCTTGATTCTAGCTCAAGAACTGGCATGCCAACAACGTGTCCTGGACTGTGAGATGGGAGCTTGAACTAGACAGATTTGAAGCAGACACAAACAAGAACCTTGACATCTATTGTATGTATTTCTCATGGACCAATTAAAGTGAGTGGAATTGGTTTTCCAGAAATCTCATTTTTTTTTTCTTCAACTCTGTGGGGTTTCATCTGGGCAAATGTCAGATGATCAGGCCTACTAGGGCTTAATATCATTTGTCTACCCACCAGTGGATGCTCTTTGAGTCCAATTCCTGAAGAAAAAAAAAAACCCCATCATGAGTTCATGTTTCTGAACATGGAGCAAATTATAGACCTTGATCAGGCCATCTCAATTGGTTCCAACCATCACCCACCACAACCATGATCCTAGTGAGAGATTCTTGATTGCTTCCTTGCTTCCTCTCCCTAGCTTTCCCATCATCATCATCATGATGATGATGATGATGATGAAATCAATGGGATTCTGATCCTTGTCGATATTCTTCTTTTAATTTTCCCAGCTAGTTGATGAATTCTTCATCCTCCAACTCTTTTGACTGACTCATATGTAGCTTTCTCAATACATACTCCTTGTCTTCATCAAGCACTATTAAGCTGCTGACTTTCTTCTTCTTCTCAGACATCCTAGTAGAGTACATAATATATCATCAATCCATATCATTCTCCCTTTTTTTTTCTATATTTTTCAATTTCTGATCATATGCATGAAAACCCATTTTTTGTTCCCTTGGGGTTCTGATTTTGGACTTGCTTTTCAGATCTCATCATCATCATCATTTTTTTTCTTCTTGTGCTCTCTGTAAAGTTGAACCAGTTGAGCTCTCTGAGGTTGTTTGGTAGTACGGATCATACATGTAGGAGTGGAGTTACTTTTCAGGATCACCCAAGAATAGAAAAATATTAAGACCGTGTATGTATGCAGGAGTACGTTAGTCTTTTCTCCATCGTTGATCTTTCGTTCTTTCTTGCCCTGTTTGATTGCTGTTTGTTATAAAAAAAGATAATTCGAGTCCTGGTTGATTTTATGCAAGCCAAGGCTGTTGTTTGAAAAAAACCTTGAAATTTTTGGATTTTGGTAAGAGAACTTTCAAGATGAACCAACAAGAACAACAAGAACAACAACAAGAACAAGAACAAGAAGAACCCATCAAACAACCAACCCACCAGCAACTGCGCCTGAAACACTACATCATCCTATCCAGCCTCTCACTGAGCTTCCTCCTCCTAGCCATCATCCACATCACCATCGGCGAGAGACTGAACAACAATAGCCCATCGAGAATCCAAGACTCACTCCGTCTGAATATCCCCTCAACCAGGCTCAAGATCGGAGAGCTGACCGCCCAGAACAGTCTCAGCCTATCCATCCAGACTAACCTCACCCTCAACCTACATCAACTGACGAGTAGCAAAAACAGGCTCGGCAAGACCGTCGAAGGAAAACTGCTCCGTTGGCTCGTCGCTCAATCCCCAAACGCTACCCTCTCCTCATCCTCCCCCATCCAGATCTACGAAGCCGACAACCATGGACAACATCAAGAGCCTCTGCTCGAACTGACTCTCCTCGAGCCCTTCATCCTGCCCCTCTCCTACAACCCCCCCTCCAAACACGCCGACCACCACCCTAGTCCTCCTCCGACTCAACGCACAACCATCGCCCTCCGCATCCAGTTCCGAGCCCCCGACCGACTCCCTCCGCTGCTCCTCACCCCTGCCCTCGACCTCCGCGTCGTCATCAAAGACTTGGATCTCCGCCTGAATCCTCACAACGGACTCCCCGCATGGATCGCTCGTCTCTTCCGCAAACTCACCCACGTCTCGCTGCCTCATCTGGCCCTCCAACTCTCGCTCCCACGTAAGCCCTCCCTCTCTTCTAGCGATTCTTCTCGAGAACAAAAAACTGACCTCGTTTGACGCGTAGTGCCGAAGCTACCAGCGGGCTGGACCGACCCATCGAAGTTATTACAGATCGACAGCTACTCATTCTACCCCTTATCCGCCGGTTCCACGACGGAAGACGAACCAGAGCCAAAAGTCGGCATCCGGGCCTCCGTCTCCGCACCCAACCCGCTCCAGCTCCTCAAACAATACATCGATGAGCTCGATTTGCAGATGCACATCTCCTGGCCAATCCCGCTCTCCATCTTCCTCATCCCTCCCCCATCCAACCACACCTCCTCATCCTCAACAGACCCTCAAGCGGTCCCGCTGGCGTCCTCCCTCACTCTCCCTTTCCTCCTCGACGCAAACACCGAACAGGTCTCGATCACCATCGAAGGATTCCTGCTGCCCTCGCTGGCTTCTTCCCCTCATAATTCCAGTGCTCCTCAGGAGCAGGACGAAAGCGCATTGTCGGGCTTCTTGAACCGGTTCTTGAAAGGCAAGACGAACGACCTGTTGATCCGATATCGGGGAGACCTGACGGCGGCCGGCGAGGTTTCCCGAGGGTTGTTGTCGACCGAGGGCGGGGGCCGGGCTGTCCAACACCGATTCTCGATAGACGACGACGACGACGATGAGGGTCCGAAGCAGACGCGTGTGCCGTCGCTGGTCGTGGCCTTCCTGGCCGCGCTGAACGTCCGACTCCAATTCCCGGGCAACGAGCATACCGAGCTGGTCGAGTCGATCGGCGTCCGGGAGATGAAGATCGACCTGCCCGGCATCCTCCCGCCGCACCCGCAGCTCCTGTGCTCCGGCGAACTCCGCGCCGTCGTCGTCTTGCCCCCGCACCTCGTCGGCCTGTCCTCTATCCTCTCCATCCTCGACGTCAGACCGGATGTCTTGCTGCTCGACGGCCCTCTTCCTTCCTCCTCCATTCCTCCTCAACCCGATGACGATCAAGTCGTCCTCCCCGAAACCGCATTCGCAAGACTCTTTCCAGAACACTATCTGCCCGCCTCGCTCCGCCTCATCCTTCCCAACTCTACAACCTCTTCTGCTTCGTCCCAGGTCAAGCTGCTCCTTACGTCCTCCTTCGTCAAGGTCCCGTTACAAGTCCTTGACGGAAGGACCGCCGTCTTCCGCAGATATGCCGCTAAATATCTGCTCCATCATCGTCGCCATCAAGCTCCTGATGGAGATGATGATGACGATCAGGAAGGCGTGCTTACGTCTATCGTCGGCGCGTTCGACGCTCATAGCTCGATCGCCCATACGTTTCTGGTCCAGCTCTTGGGAGTCGACGTCCGCGGCAGCTTCTACGTTTAAGACACACCCAAAACGACGATCGAGCGGGCCACTTCGGCGGGGGTTTCGTTGATTCATTTGCAGAAGGATCGGCTACTTCAAAACAAAAAAAGCGTGTTGTTATGGGCCGCTGTTCATCTTTTGCCGTCGGTCCCCTGAGTTCTCGACTCGGATCTTCTTGGCTTGGCTCCCCACCCTCTCGATGTCTTCCCTTTCGCCCAGGAAATCTGCCCTTTCCCTCCTGGGGCTGTGTTTGTATGGACTCTCGACCGGCTCATGAACACTTGTCTGTATCATTTTTTTGTTTGTTGCTGAAGATCTTATGTATCGGTATTCCACCATTATCCTGGCCTGTTCTGCTATTTATGTATCTCCTCCCGAATGGGGCTTGTATCCCCTGTATCTTGATCCCCCGGTCTTGATTTGATTTGGTGTTTGTATTGGTACATAAAATGCTTGATGATGATTGTATGTAATGTATCATGAAAACCTGGATGTCTTGTGATCCTAACGGATGAGTATGTACGAATCTCACTGCACAGGTCCGGTTTCAAATTTCAATCCGAGAAAGCGCGAGCAAGAAGGCAACATTAATCCATGTGACTATATATTCAAAAAATTTGAGAGGGGGTTTTTTTTTGGGGGGGGGGGCGGGGGGACAGAGTGAGAGGGACTAGAGCAAGGGACTCAAGTCGTGGCAGTGGGCAGGGCGGCTCACAAAATGGATCGATTGACCATGTGGACTATGCGCTTATATGTATGTAAGCTTATCAAGCCTAACATTGTTTGTCCATTCTTGAGACACACTCTCTCTTTGTTTTGGTGTTGATTTACTGGGTGATCGAGGAGCTGGAATATTATAGGCTCTCTTTTTAAGTGGAGTGTCTTATGCATCATTCGTCTTCATGTACAGTGGGTGGACTGTTGTTTTTGGCTGCTTGTTTTGGATCCCAGAGCTTCAACGCACCAGATTAAAGTCATGAGACTTGGTCAAGTGGTGCAGAATAGGTCACAAAAAATGAATATGAAAAAATTAAAAACAAAACAAAAAACAAAGTCTCAAATTTGGTGAAAAATAACAAATCAAATTGATTTTTTTTTTCAAAAAGGTTTGATATTCATTTTGGGGAAGTGTGAGTGCAAAGAGAAAGAAAGAATGGAAGATGGAATGAATGATTATAAATTAAAATTTTGGAAAAAAAAGTGGTTGCCAGATAGTTTTAACCAGTTGTTGAGTGGGGCATTCACCAGCTCACATTGCAGTAAAGCACTAGAATTTACTGTTTTGACTCCAATCTGGACGTACAACCAACCTGGCTCAAACCTTTTTTGGTTCCAATTTTTTTTCATTTATAATCATTCTTGTCATGTTCCACTCTTTGTTTCTCTCAACACTCCCACTCCCCCAAAATGAATAACAAAGCTTTTGGAAAAAAAACATTTTTATTTTTTATTTTCTTGCAAAAGTTAAAACTCTGTTTTTTTTTTTTTTGTTTTTTTTTTCATATTCATTTTCTGGGACCTATTCTGCACCAATTCACCAAGTCTTGTGACTCAAAGTTTGTGCTTTGAAGCTGTAGAATCCAAAACAGGCAGCCAAAAATAACGGTCCACCCACTGTACATAGATGAAAAAACAAACCCTGCTTGTATATGTGTTTTTATCACTTATTATCAGTGCTTATACATACATGTGAAAACTGTCTCTTGTGAGAAGGCGTAATATTGAGGGGGTAATTAGTTGGACAACTGCCAATGTTTTTCCAGTGGGATTTGGTCCTCCAGATGTGGATGGCTGACTTTGGGAGTCAGCCATCAAGGTTTATTTTTAATTTTTTTTTTTCTGGGAGTTGGCTTCCCAAACCACTCCCCATGCATGGGAGGGGGGAGTTGCCCCCAATTGACTAGGAGGGGACCTTCTGGTTGACAGGGTATAACTTATAAGGACCTCATCCACTGGAAGGGGCTCCTTCCAGTTGGTGCATAAGGACCTCATCAACCGGAAGGATTTCCTTCCACTACAGTGTCTGTGTACTATGACAGGTTGTTTCTGCTATAGTAGCAAGCTGAAAATGTATCAATACCTGTCTTGTGGTTGTTCATCTTATCAAAATCATCAATCCAAGATTTCCCTTCCCAGCTAAAAAAAAAATTAAGGACTTAGAGTTCATTCTCCATTCTTGAATTATCAGGGAATGATTTTAAAAAATTGTGTGGCAGGAATTATTTGATTGCCTTTTCTTTCATCTTGATGATCTGTGATTTGATGAGCCTGCACAGCCACTGGATTGATTGAGAAGGTTCAAAGTTATGGGTTCTTGGCTCAGATGATGGCCCAGACAAGCAGGTTTTCCATAATCAATTGTGATGCGTAATGTAGGATGGTTTGTGCGATAGAATCTGTGGCAAAGCTTGCATCGGTAATACAGCTTGACACATTGATTTTGACAGGTGTAAGGCACACCAGACTCCTGTTCAACACTTTGGCCACACTCTTCTATCATTTCAAATTGGTGTTCTTTAGCCTGATTGGCTGTCAACAAGCTGCCCAGACCTGTGCATCTTGGCCAGGCACAAGGTGCTGTTTCAATCCCAACCAGTTGGAAGCCAGGAAGCAGGACCAGCAGGATAATGCTGCAGGAAACTTGTAAGATCCACATCCTTCTTATTTTCCAACTTTAAAGTTGGACTAGAATTACTTGAGAACCGTCTGGGGCAGGAAGGTATGAGTATGACTTGAGTGGGGATTGAACCAAAAACGTATCTTGAACCAGCTTTCTGTTTTTGGATTGGAATGTGCCACTATGCCACTGTGCTATATGGTCAAGCACTGCCAATCACTCCCCATGTTAGCCATAATACACCTTGTCATGCAGGAAATATCAAATTTAAATCAGTCATCTTTACATTGGATCAAAAGTGCATGTTCTTTTTCATGCCTTCACTCCAGTGAAGTCTGTTGGATTGATGCTTTAGTCATATTATCCTTCCCTGTACACATTTCAGAGGCATCAAGTCACCCCCAAAGTACAGTCTCCTCCCAGATGTTTATAGCCATCTGTTTTCAACTCCACACCTGGAACCCAGAAATTTCAAGTCACAAGAGTTGGTGGAATGATGGAAAATGGGTCTCAAAGAATGAATATGAAAAAATAATAATGATAAACAAGATTATAAAATTTGTAAAAAGTAAAAAGGAGAAAAATACAAAAACTGACAGCTCTAATATTTCTTTCAGGAAAAGATGAAATCTCCAAATTGATAGTATGAGATCTGGAATGAATAATACGAAGTGAAAATTTGGAAAAAAAATGACTAATTGGTGGTTTAAAAAGGGTGTCTAGGGGCTCATTCATCAAGAAATGTGGCATTCTGGTACTGCAATCTACTGATTTTGACTGCAGGGTGTCCACCCACCATACTCAAATTTTTTTTGGATCAATTTTTTTTCATTTATAATCATTCTTTTCATGTTCAAAACTTGCACTCTGTGTGTTCACTTTTCATTCAAACAAAAAATTAAAGTTTTCAAAAAAAAGTTGATTTTCTTTGGGCCTTAATAAAAAAACCCGCATTTTCCGCGTATTGACGCGGGCTTGCTGCGGCACAGCACACGCGCAATCCGTGTTTAAACCCGCTTTTAAATTAGTTTATTTTTGCCATTAATTTTCATTTTTTTCAAGTTTTGAAAATTGTTTCCCAGGTTAAAAAATGCGTAGAATTTAATGGTGAAGTCCATTTTCCATAAAAATGAGTTTTAATTATTAATTTTTTTTTTCCACTCATTTTTTCTATTAATTGTGCGCTTACATGTTTGTACCTTATTTTTTATGCTTTTTTGAAATTTTAAAGTTATTTCCTAGGTTTTAATACGTGTAGAATTTAATGGTGACATCTAATTTTCTCAAAACTCAACGGTTCATTTTTAATACTGAAATTTGACATTTTTTTCACTTAAATTTCTACAGCTTAATTATCATTATTTTTTGACATTTTAAATTAATTTCCCACACTTTAAGACATGAGTAAAATGATGGTAATAACCATTTTGCATAAAAACCAAAGACTGTTATTGAATACTGTGTTGGACATGTTTTTTTGATTGGTTTTTACCGGCTGGATTTTAATCATTTTTCAAAATTTTAAATTAATTTCCTGCATTTAAAGATGTGTAGAATTGAATGGTGAATTCCAATTTCCATAAAAGTACAAGCTTCAATTATAATACGTGAGTGTACCCCGTTTCTTGCATAATTTGTACTGTATACAAATTGTATTTGAATGCAAAATGGATACAGCCATCAACTTTGAAACCTTTCAAAGTGTAGGAAATGAGCTTAAAATTCCAAAAAATAAGGGTAATTAAGCGTGTAAGAATTACTTCAAAAAATATGTCCAACGCAGTATTCAATAAAAATCTTTGGTTTTTATGAAAAATTATTTTTACCATCCTTTTAAACATGTCTGAAAGTGTAGGAAACAAATTTAAAATGTCTAAAAATAATGAAAATTAAGCTGTTAAAAATCAATTGAAAAATATGACTAATTACAGTATTCAGAATGAACCATTGAGTTTTATATGGAAATTGAATATTACCATTAAATTCTACACACTTTTAAATGTAGGGAAAAACTTTAAAATTTCAAAAAAGCATAGAAAATAAGGTACACACATGTATGCAAACAATTAAGTGAAAACGTGAAGGATTAATTAAAAAAAATGTGTCAAATGCAGCATTTAAGGTATAGTTTTCATTTTGGGGAAAAATGGTTGTTACCATAATTTCTTACATGTCTCAAAGTGCAGGAGAAAATTTTAAAACGTCAAAAAATAATGAAAATTAACCTGTAGAAATTTAAGTGAAAACAAATGTCAAATTTCAGTATCAAAAATGAACTGTTGAGTTTTGAAAAATTTGGATTACACCATTAAATTCTACACACATTGAAACCTAGGAAATAAATTTAAAATTTCAAAAAAGCATAAAAAATGAGGTAGAAACATGTATGTAAACAATTAATTGAAAAATAAGTGGAAAAAAAATTAATAATCAAAAGTCATTTTTATGGAAAATGGACTTCACCATTAAATTCTACGCATTTTTTAACCTAGGAAAAAATTGTAAAGGGCCTTAATAAAAAAACGCGGTTTTTCCGCGTTTTGACGCGGTTTTGATGCGCCGCAGCACACGCGGTTTCCGCTTTTAGACGCGGTTTTTTAATTAATTTTTTTTGGGTTATTTTTTGAGTTTTTTTGAATTTTTAAAATTGTTTCCTAGGTTTCAAAGCGCGTAGAATTTAATGGTGAAAACCATTTTCCGTAAAAATGAGTTTTAATTAGGGCCTTAATAAAAAAACGCGGGTTTTCCGCGTTTAGACGCGGTTTTGCTGCGGCACAGCGCACGCGGTTTCCGCGTTTAGACGCGGTTTTTTAATTAATTTTTTTTGCCATTAATTTCAAGTTTTTTTAATTTTTTAAAATTGTTTCCTAGGTTATAAAATGCGTAGAATTTAATGGTAAAGTCCATTTTCCATAAAAATGACTTTTGATTATTATTTTTTTTTTCCACTCATTTTTTCCATTAATTGTATGCATT